GCCCTCTGGACCTTTGCTGGCCTCGGTGTGCGAATTTTTATTAATTGAAAGCGTTCTATTGGAATTCACTTCACAATCAGTTTCGAAGTAGGGGAATCTCAGCGAAGTCTGCAGTTAACAGTACTACACCGATGTTCACTTCTTCATTCACAAAAGTGCCCTCGTCACGTACGACGCTGACATTAAAGGAAAACTGGCTGAAGCGTACATGGGAGCTCTCTGTACTATTTTTTGCAACTTCTCTATTCATCTAAAACTATTTCAAAATAAAATGTTTACTTTTTTTAAATAAAGATTTTTATTTATTTATTTTTAGAGAGGGAATGGAGGGAGAAAGAGAGAGAGAGAGAGAGAGACAGACAGACAGACAGGCAGATAGACAGACATCAATGTGCGGTTGCTGGGGGTCATGGCCTGCAACCCAGGCATATACCCTGACTGGGAATCGAACTGCGACACTTTGGTTCGCAGCCCGAGCTCAATCCACTGAGCTATGCCAGCCAGGGCTTAAAATGTTTACTTTTAAAAATTAAATTTCTGAACTCACATAGAAGCACTTTTCTCAGACTAAAGGTCACAGACTAAAGGTCCTGAGAGCTGATGAGCCAGGGCCCTTCAGGCTTCAGTGACAGAGCTGCAGTGTACATGCATGATTTACAGCTTACAAAACGTAACACTGTGTTATCTCCACCCCACGAGTGTGACGGAAGCAGGATTGGTAGTTTCATTCTGCTCAAGCCAAGACACCGGGGCAGCTCAGCAAGCCGTTGACTGAGCCAGGTGTCCAGTCTGTCTCTGCATTCCAAGGGTCTGAGCGCCACCCAGGACCACCGCCTGAGTTCCGGAAACATCCCGAGCTGCCTCCAGTGAAGCTTTTGTTTACGTGGCCACCGGGCTTGGTTCTCTGAATTTTACTGCAGATGGGAAGGGTGTTCCCTGTTGTACTGTTTGCAAGAATGACGCATATCTGAAAGTCCATCCACAGAGGAATGCTTAAATAAATTACAGGCCATTCATTCTGGAAACACTATACAGTTGTTAAGAAGAATGTGGTAGATCTGCAGTTACTGGGACAGGACCTATGGTTAGATGAAAAAAGCAAATTGCTGGGGCTGTATGTGTAATATGATTAGATGTTTGTGAAAAAAGTAAATTAAAATAAAAATATAAACACATACATAGAGAGAGTATATATATGTGTGTATACATGTGTGTATATAATACGTGTGTATACATATATATATAGAGAGAGAGAGAAGGTCAAGGAGGCTATCCCCTGAGGGGCACGGAACAGCTTCTCAATGAAAACAACAACAACAAAGAAAACAAAGTTCCCAAAGCCTGGGATAAAGGGTGGGGAGGGGAGCAGCTTTTAGCTCTTCCTCCATCATCTCCTGTTGCTACCCCATTTCTCTTCAATCTCTTGTCCAAGGAAGGAATAATAATAATGTTACTTTCTTCCTTCCCTTCTCAGGCTTGGAAGGGCTGTAGCACCAGTTTTTGTTTTTTTTTTCAGGGGGGAGGCCTGGGCATGAGAACCACATGATCTGAGGCTCCATCTAAATCCTAACGGACGGCAAATGAATTTCAAGATCTATTTTGCTCACTCACCTCCCTCCCTTTTTTTGTTAACCCAGATACGGGTTGGTTTCTTTGTGGCCCTTGTTCCCCTAATCTCTTATCACTGAGGCATCAGATCCTTTGCCACTTGAGTCTGCCAACCTACTTATTTGCTCTAGACCTGCCCAACACAGGGCGGCTCCCCCAATCTCTTTTCCCATGGGAACCCGCCCTGGAATTCTGCTTCCTTTCTCCTTCCTTCTCTTTTCTGTGCCCCAGCCAGTGGGGTGGCGCGGCACTCTGAGGGCAGTGTACCATGGCAGAAAGAATACAGGCTCTGGAATAAATCAGGCTTGGCACAAAATCCCGCCTCTGCCATTATCAGCCACGTGACCTTGGGAGAATTTCTTATCGTCTGAAAATTTAACTTCCTGTACCTTAGTTTTTGCTTCTGTACAATGAGAATAAAACCTGCTCATAGGGCTGTGGTGAAAAGTAGGTGAGATGAAAAACACTCTGTGTCTAATCCAGAGTGAGGAAAACCTAGGAGGTAACTAGCATGACCAGGTGGAAAGGGAGGGGCTTTACTCATGGGCAGACAGAGCCCACAATGCCGGGTTCTACTCCCTCCTCCTTCCAGAGAGGTGACCTTGGCACCAGGCACAGTGGGCACAGTGTCTAGGGTCGACAGCACTTCTAGGGGCCCATGAAAATGGATTTTAATGATTTTAGTGGTAATGATTTAAATCTCTTTTTAAAATCACAAAGAGAAATCAAATGTTTAGGTCGAGGAAATTGTAATAATGTTCTATCTATAAATGATTAATTACAAATGCAACTGTTAATGATTTTATTACACTATATTTTTCTTTACACCAACCTAGCTGTACAATACAATTTTCAATATACATCTTTTCTAATGGAGGAGTGAGCCTACAAGGGGAAAAGGGCCAAGGGCCCGTGAAGGCCGTAGCTCAGCCCTCAATTTCAACATCCCGAGAGGCTGTCTCCTTCAGGAGACCTTTACAGGAAAAGGACGTGACAGAGGCAGGTGGAGAGATGGGGAAGGGATGTGCAAGACACTCAGTGACGGCAACATTTAACATAACAGCCCTCACCCTGCTGGGATCTCTCCCTTCCTGTTTCTAAATTGTATTGGCTTGGGCCCAGTGGGTAGGGGCCGCATGGTCTGCCCTAAAATACCACATCACGCACATCACTAGTTGGGCCAAGAATGTAAATATAAAAGTCAACAACAACAATGATGGCAAAACAAGACAATTAAAATTGGGCAAGGGACTTGAATAGACATTTCTCCAAAGAAGATATGCAAATGCTCAACATCACTCATAATTAAAGAAATGTGAATCGAAACCACAAGGAGATACCACTTCACACCCATTAAGACAGAGACTATATATATAAAAAAAGAAATTAATGAGAATGTAGAGAAAATGGAACACTTGTGCACTGCTGGTGGGTCTGTAAACTGTGGAAAACAGTGTGGCAGTTCCTCAAAAAATTAAACATAGAGTTACCACATGATTCAACAGTTGCTCTTCTGGGTCTGTACACCCAAAAGAATGGAGATCAGGGACTTAAAGAGATACCTGTATGCCCATGTTCATAGCATCATGATTCATGATAGCTAAGAGAGGGAAACAACCCAAATATCTATCCGTGGATGAACAGAATAACGAAATGATATAGATGTAAATGCATAACTATACACAAAATTATATACATATACGCATATACCCAGCCTTAAAAAAGGAAAGAAGACCTGACACGTGCTACAACATGGATGAACCCTGGAGATGTTATGCTAAGAGAAAAAAGACACAAAAAGACAGAATCTGTAAGATCCCACTTGTATGAGGCACTCAGTCAAACTCACACAGGTAGGAAGTGGAACAGTGTTTACCAAAGGCCAGGGGGTGAGGGAGGTGAAGAAACTCTGGAGGAGGATGGTAGTGATGGTTGCGTGGTGCTGTGAATGTAATACTTAATATCACTAGCCTGTACACCAACAAATGGTTAAGATGGTAACACTTACATTATGTATATTTTACCACAAATTTTAAAAAAGAAAAAAATGTCAACACTTCCCCTTTTGCTCAAGTGCCAATTCCTCAGCTAGCTGCAGAAGCCTCACCTCTCTTCCCTCCCGGCGGGCTGATTTGGGAGGTCCTCTGCCCTCTCCTTCGGAACAACCCCCAGGGTAAATGCAGTCTCTGCAGTTTCACGCCGGGTGCTACCTTCATGCCTGTACACACCTCATCATCCATCCTTCAAGGGTAAGGGCTCGACCCCTTCCCCGCTCTTGAAGCCTTTGCTGACCAATTTAAACTTCTACCCATTTCTCCCTTTTCTTATCTCCCATCATTCCACTAACAGTCTGACTTGCGTGCATCACTAGCCATAGAGGACGCTGTCTTAGACTCCCCGCTGCGATGTCCTTCACCTGTTTCCACATCAGTAAAATAGAGAATGTCTGTCCTAATGACAAATGAAACTGTGTATATGAAAACAAAGATGTATAGACCAATCGAGCTTTTGTTCCTCCCTTAACCTAACTAGCACATGATGAAAAGAATCAATGAATATATCATCTCATGACCAGTTTGGTTATGAAACGAAAGGTGGGAATCTATTCTAAATGTGGAGAGATGGACCACTGCCAGGAACAGTGTTGGTTTTCGTTTTGTTTTTTGTTTTAAAGATTTTATTTAGTTAATTTTAGAGGGAGGGGAAGGGAGGATGAGAAAGAAAGACACATCGGTGTGAGAGAGGAAAACTGATGGCTGGCCTCCCACACTTGCCCTCACCAGGAATCAAACCAGCAACCTTTTGCTGTGCAGGACCACGCCTGCTCCCCTCAGTCCTCCCTTCATTGACCACACCAGTCAGGGCAGGAACAGTGGGTTTTTGATGCTTGAGTATGCCACCAGAGGTGTGGACTTAGACAGCAGGCAGAATTCCTTTCCAGGAAGAGGCAGGTAGGTTTCTAACAGGTACATAACAATAACCACCACCACCGTTACTGAGCTTACTAGATCTGACACACAGTACTAGGTGTTTTACATAGGTTGTCTCATTTAATCCTTACAGATAAACCTCATAAGATAGGTACTATTTCCCCTATTCTACAAGGAGGAAACTGGATCTTAGAGGTTAGACAACTCACTCAGGGTCACAAGGCTTGAAGTGGCAGTGCCAGGAACCCGCACAGGCCCATGAGACTTAGCTTCAAAGTGCGCTAACGTGCACGCTCTAGTTGCCTTCTGCTTCCTCCCACTACCTATTTGGGTGTGAGGCTGGCAGAAAGGTGGGAAAGTCTTCTTATCTGGCCTGGGACTTCAAGGAATTCCAAGACTGGGTTGGGGGCGAGGATGTTGAATGAGTCTCTACCATTCTAACTGGGAAAGGCCTTCACCTACCTCTTGGAGAAGGCGTGGTTGGGAAGCTAGTCATTGCAGCAAGTGGATGGGCACCTTGAGGAACGAGCAAATCTGCAGCAAGCAGGGGAAAAAAGACAGGTAAGAGGTGGGTGGGCTCCTGTTTGGGGCTGGAGACCACTCGAAATCCCAGAAAAGCCTTCGGTGCCAGATTTTCCTGAGTCTCTTCCCCATTCCCTCTTTCCCCTGTGGAGCTAGTCCTAAACCCTTGTTTGGTTTCCCTGAGTATCTCCTCAGGCTGCAGTTATCAAGAGCAGAACTGAGAGACCACCTGTATCTGGGGTGCATTATCTTTGAAAGCTCTACCCTGACATCCTTTCACTGGGTCACGACATTTACCTAAGAGATTTCTCAAGGCCTGAGTAAGTTGGGCAAAGGTATGCAAATTAACAGCGGCCCCAGTTTCGCCAAATCATGGTAACAGGTACCCAGTTCTTTCACAGCCTGGAGTTTGGGCGGAGCCATCCTCTTGTGTCAGGAGGGGGTGGGGGCTGTTGCGCAGAACCTGCGCCAAGGCTTGGGGGCCACGTGGGGGCTGGGACCTGCCGTTAAGGTGGAGGTGGGGGATGACCCAGGCAAAGGAAGCTGGAGGTAGGGGTCGCCTTTTGGCCTGACACAGTCGTTCCACCCAGCCAAGCTGGGTGTCTTTCATTAGTCTTCCCTTCATTGTCCACTGCGCCGTCCTACAGCCTACTGAACCCCACTAGCCGGCCACTGGAGCCGAACCCCACTTGGCCGAGCGGGAGTCTCTGGCGCTGTCGGGGGACCCTCTCCACCTCCGCGGCCGTCGGGTCTCGCTCCGCGGCCCCGCCCCCTGGCCCCGGCCCCAGCCTTCCTGCGCTACCTGCACGCCGCGGGCCCGCCGTGCTCCGTGGGTGGCCCAGCAGCCGTGACGGGAGGCTCCAGCCCAGGGCCGAGCTCCGGCCACGCTCCGTTTCAGTTCCTGCCGGGGCCGGCGTGGCTGCAGTGCGAGTGTGGGCGACCGGGCTCGCCTGGCTCTCCGCCCTCCCCAGCTCCCCTCCTCCACGTGCTCACCTTACCAGTCGGACGGGCTGGCGCGGAAGGGCCGGCGCCACGCAGCGCGTCCTTTTGAACTCGACCGGGGCGGGAACCGTGGAGATTCGCGCAGACCCACCGGGGGGCACCGAGTGCAGGAAGCCGCGGAGAGACGCGCAGAGTTAGTTGCCGAGACCAGCGAGTGGGGGTGGGCGGGCCGGCCGAATGGGTGGGACAGGAAAAGAGGAGAGAAACCGCCCTCTGCAGGTTCCCTCTGCTCGCCCGGCCGCCTCTGCTGCCCCAGGAGGAAAGGCAGCCTTTCCTTCTCCGACTGTCGCTTCACTCTCCATCCGGAGCCGCTTCCTCCCTCGCTCCGGGGCTGGGATGGGGCGGGTACGGGATGTGAACCCGGGGCCCGCTTTCCCCTTGATCGACGTTATTTGAATTTTCAACAAATGTGAAAATTACTTACTTGCGTTTGCATATCATTTACTAAATAGGTTTGAGTCCAGAAACTTGGAGCGTAAGGTAACTTAGTGGCGCACCGCGGGCCGGGCTGCTGGGAGGCGAGGCGGGGAGGAGAACGTCGCCCCCTCCGGATCTTCCTTGTCCCACATCCCTCTGAGGTGGTGCAGAGGCTTGGACTTTGGGTTCAAACAGTCCCAGCTCCGCGGCTTGTTAGCTGTGTGATTTCGGGCACATTACGTCACATCGCTAAAACCTGCGCCCTCGTCCCTGAAATGGGGGGCTGAAAATGATAATGCCTGTAAAGCCATTTCTTTTTAGATGTGGCTTGCGCGTGGTAGGGACCTTGATTTAATCAATGCCAGTCAGCCACCTCTCGACTCAGTTTGTGGCAGGAAATGCTACCAAATTAATGACGAACTCAGTGACTAAGGATGGGATAGTATAAACACAGGCTCTGGAATCTTCTCTGCTTCGTGATCTTGGGCAAGTTCTGTTTCATTTCTCTTATTGGGACATTTGTCTCATAAGAGTTACTGTAAGGATGTAATGGGTTAATACTTCTAAAGCAGCGATTTTCGACCGTTTTCACCTCGTGGCACACATAAATTACTAAAATTCTGTGGCACATTAAAAATATATTTTTTGCCCATCTGACAACAAAATAGGTATTATTTTTTTGTTATTTTTTTATTTGACAATCTAGGGAAAAAGAAGTCAGTGCCCCTGACTAAATGGTCAGGTATTGCAAGTTTTAAAAGTTCTTGCAGCACACCAGTGTGCCTGCCACGGCACACCGGTTGAAAATCACTGATCTTAAAGCCTTAGAACCTTACCTGATAAATAGCAGAAGTGCTCAATAATTGCTAGCTATTGTTATCCTGGCTTCCTACTTGGGTGTAGAGCTCCTGTGGTTATTCTGCCTTCCATCCCAGTGATACAGACTTCTGTGCTTTCTTCTTATTCCTGTAAAGAGTTCTCTAGCTTTGGGAATCAGTATTTACAGACTGGTAGAGAGACAGGGATTGTGCATGTGCATCTGGGGGACAAAAACTGAAAGAACCAGTCTCAGAGAAAAGAGGCATAGTGCAAGGAAAAAAGGCAAAGACGTAAAATAGCAAGGGTAGTTGCTTTCATTCCTAAAGGTGTGATTCGGTTGGTAAAACTGAGGATGAAACAGAGTAAGTTGATGAAATTCATTTTATTTGAATATATTTTTAAAGGCATAGCAGTGATCAGTGAAAATGAGAGCCTGACCCTGGACAGTGTGGCTCAAGCAACCCAGTGGAGAGTGTTGCTTGGGTGTCATCCCACAGGGTGAAAGGTCGCCAGCTGGATTCCCGGTCAGGGCACACGCCTGGGGTGTGGGTTCGGTCCCCAGTCAGGCGAGTATGAGATGCAATGATCGGTGTTTCTCTCATATCAATGTTTCTCCCCCTTTCTCCCTCACTTCCCCACTCTCTAAAGAGAAATGAATGAATAAAATCCTTAAAAAGAAAAAAGAAGAAAACTGAGGTGTGGGAAAAGTCACTCCAAGAAAGGCAAAGAAAGTAACACGTGGGCAAGACTTATGTAAGTTAATGAAAAGGTGAGCTGGGCCAGTAATTCAGATAAAAGAATAAAGAAAAAAGTAGCTCAGTTGGTTAAAGCATCTGGTCTGGATACACCAAGGTTGTAGGTTTGATCCCTGCTCAAGGAATATACAAGAATCAACCAATAGGAAGGGGGGGGGCAGGTGAAAGTGGAAGAGGGAATAAGGGGGATAAATGGTAAGAAATAATAACTAAAAAAGAACCAACCAATGAATGCATGGGTAAGTGGAACAAAAACGTTGTTTCTCTGTTCCTCTCTCTCTAAAATCAATAAATTAAAAAAGAGAGAGAAAAGGAAATTCAAATCCTAAGGGTTAAATTCCAAAAGTTGACAATTGCTTGCATTTACTGATAATGATGAACTGACCCTGAATTTCAGGAAAGGTTGAAACTTTTCTTGTATTATGGCTGGAATCTCTCTCATAGCATATCCTTTATGTATTGAAAATTGAATCACAGGCTCTCAGAGGCCATCAGCTGAATTGACTCTACTGATTTGCTATGTTACTTTCACAGTTTAAAGGTTAATAGTCTCTCATAAGCATCTTTTTTCTTTTATAACCTTAGAGGTCTTGCTGGTACATGATTTTGTCCCTGTAGACACATACCATTCACTTTAAAAGTGTAAAAATGCAGAAAAATAGGACCCAGCACACATGTTTGCCACCAGTTTAACAGACAACAAACAATACTGTAAGCAGTGTGTGCGCCCTGCTCTGTGGTGTATCTTAGATATCCTGGATATCTTACCTAGTCTGTCAGTACTGTCCTTCAGATTGCCAGAAGGCAGGGACTGGGTGCAGTTAATTCTACATAGAGATGCAAACAGATGACGAATGAAGCTTCCCTGGTGGTGAGCTGCCAGTGTCCTCCAGGGACTAACTGCTAAACCTCGGAAACTGGGGCAGCCATCCTTTTGTCAGCAGACGGACCTCTAGGGGCCTCACGACAGGGGAAAAGAGATGCTCATCTCCACTCCATTTTATTGGCTTTTGGCCCCTCGTGTTGCTGCCAAGATGAAAGTCTTCTAAGTCCTGGCCTTTTGCCCCTGGAAAACTTACCATTCTGTAAATCACGGTCAACAGTTTAGTTCCTACCTGGGACTATCTGTCCTAGGTAAGCCAAATTATTTGTCATACCCAACATAGTGGCTCTTTCTCCTGCCTTCCTGACACCTCCAGTAGAGCCAGTGGACAGATGAAGTGTCCATTCCACAGTTTGGTCCAATTTTCTACTTCGGTTGTACCTGTTAGAGCAGTTACCTTGGGTGTCTGTCTTCCCCCACAAGACCCGAAGTCACAGGCAGCAAACACAAGGCCCGAGGGCCAAATCCAGCCCTCCACCTTGTTTTATCCAGCAGCAGTGCTGAGCTGTCACGTAACTGTTAAGGAGCAGTTACATTTATACAGTCCTAAAATTACATTTGGCCCTTTGAAGGCAACCGTGAGGCTGATGTGGCCCCTGATGAAAATGGGTTTGACGCCTAAGTCCCTAGAAATTCTCTCTGGCACACTCCCCAAAGAGAACCAATTTCCTAGGAGATAAGGGTGAGTGCAAGCCTGCAGAGAAAAAGCCTGACCTGGGCTTTGCCGGATGAATGGGTAGGGAATCCCTAGCAGCTCACGGAGGGGGTTGGGGCACACCTTGGACAGCTAGGGCCCTGTATTCCAAGCCTTTCCCCCACCCTTCCAATACCCCTGGAGTATTGCTCCCAGCAGCAAAAGAATGAGATGCCTTCTAGGAGAGGTATTAAATTACAGGCAGTAGGCCTTTTAGAGGGAGGCTAGCAATCTCCTATCCATTACAAGAGAGATCCTCTGAAGATTTTTAAAATACAACAAAAGAGTAGCAGGAGCAGATCTCAGGAAAATGACTTCTGAATACAAACACGTATTTCCAGTTCCCTAATGGACACACCTACCAGAAAGTCCTGTAAGTTCTCAAACTTGTTAGTGTCCAATGTTGGCACGAGATACCCCAAAACCTGCACACAGGGCATACAATTTGATATTCTGACACATACATACACCCCACAAATTATCACAATCAAAATTAAGAACATTTCTATCACCCCCAAAGTTTCCTTGTACTTCTTTGTAATCCACCCTCCTTACTACCACCCCCACCACCAGTCTGTCACGGTAGACACTAACATGTTTCCCCCCAAACTGGGCCAATCAGATTCTTTCTCCAGGGAATCTGGATCTGGAAAGGACATAGGGGCACATGTTGCCTGAAGCCAAGTCTCCCAATGACAGCTGCCTAGAGGGGCAAGCCACACATTCCTGCTACAGACATCCGTGGGCTGGTTCTTGTCCTTTCTGCAGCCTGGCTGTTCTTTCAGCTCTGTGAACTGCCCAACATCCTTCAACATGTGCTTTATTGCTTACTCGTGTCAGTTTGTCGCCTGCAGAGAACCCACATACAACGCACTTCCTCCTGTAGTCACCACTTCAGGGAACGGCACCATGGAATTCTAGTCTCTCAAGCCTAACCTAGACTAACTCCCTAAACCTTGAGTCATCGTGTGTCCCTAACACATTGAGAAACCCTGCCTGTTCTCTGGGCTCAATGCTCTGTCTCTATAAAGTCCTCACTTTTTCTACTCATCATTGTTTCTCCAGTACCTAGTGCAGTGCTTGGCTCAGAGCAGGTACTCAATAAATGCTTGCTGAATGACCGAAAAAGGTAACATCTATCACCCTTAGAAACAAAAGCAGCTCTGGCTGGTGTGCGGCAGTGGACTGAGTGCTAGCCTGTGAATTGAAAGGCTGCTGGTTCAATTCCCAGTCAGGGCACATGACTGGGTTGTGAGCCAGGTCTTCAGTTGGGGGCATGGCACGATGTTTCTCTCCCTCTTTCTTCCTCCCTTCCCCCTCTCTAAAAATAAACAAAACCTTAAACAAAAACTTTCATCAGTGACATATAAAAAAGGCAAAGATGGAGGAATGAGTGTTTGCATGTGTACGTGTTTATCAGGGTGGCAGGATTTACGAAGTTAGTTTTTAATGTTTTTCACAGAAGCAAATGATAGAACTTGAATCCAGTACTTGATTCCCAACTCCATGCCATTTCCATAATATTACTATACTTTCTATCCTTTCCCTTCACTTGGAGTTCCATGTCTTCTCCCATCCTGCTCATAGCCTTACTTACACCAAGTACCAGATTATAAACACTAGACGTAGCTCTAAAGTGTAACCGCTTTCCAAGGGTATTTGCTTATTAACTATAGGGGGTGGGGGTGGTACACGACTTAGACTGGGGAGCCTGTGGCCCCTGGCATCATCAAAGCATATAGCCAGGTCGTCAGGTGAGAAGGAGGTCAGGGACGGGACTAAGGCTTTCCAGCCCCGGGGCAGAACCAGTTCCCTTGGGCAAGTGGAGGACACTGTTGGGCTGGGACAGCCTCTGTGTCAGACAAAGCATCTACACGTAGAATATTTTAACAATCTGAAAAGATGTTCTTTTGACAGTAAGTCTTGCAAAATGAGCAGTAAATCAAAGATTTGTTTCCTTTTCCCTGAGTATGTGTGGTTACATGTTTGTCTATAGATGCTTTTGTTTGTTGTAGTCATTGTAGCCCCACTTCAATTGATATGTAAAGTCTTAATTGTTCTAACAATGCCAAAATCTGAATTAAATATTCCCTGAGCCTGACGATCTCTTCTCCCAGGCCTGCCTCCCTCCCTCACCTAATTCTGCTCCTCAGCCTCCATTAATGTGACTAGGTCTTTAGACACCATCAGCACCCATACTGCTTGAGAATCTAGAAATGACCGTTGAATCTTAAGTCCCTCTGACTTATTTATATGCCCTGTAGCTGAGGAGTTTCTCTGGGAGGTGTAAGTGCGGGCAGGTCTTGGCAGTTCCTCTTCAGAGCTGTTCACTTTGAACTGTAGATACCTGGAAAGAAAACACGATTGCGTTAGATACTCACCTGCCCTCCCAACAACCGCTCAAGAAGGGCAGAAACTCAACGTGCTCCTGTTGAACTACACAGCATGTTGTGCACAGCCAAGGGACGTGACACCGGCTGTTGGGATTATTGTCAAGACTTGTTACACATATTGTTCATGACATCCTCCACTGTTTCTTCATGAGGATTTGCAGGAGGGATTTCTTTCTCTTCTTAGTATTGGAACAGTTGTTCTCTGAAGGAATGGCATCATGAGCTGGGTGAAGTGATCAGATTTTTCTCTTCTTGGATGTTTAGAAAGTCTGGAGCCAATTTCATGATCCATCCTTAGTAAGTTTACTTTATCGAATGTATTCTTGTACTCGCCTAATTCAAAGCTCCATTTTGTGTCCCTGTCACTAACACACTCCCGAGTGATTTTGCTGTGTGCGTACTCAATATGAATATGTGCATTTACCTTTTTGTATGCCTTTTGTAGATCTTAACTCCCTTTTGAAATAAGTTCAGATATAACTCACTAAGTACTTAGGAGACAGGGCCATTGTGAGAGTTCAAGAGTTTCAAGGCCAAATGTTGGGAAATGGGCACCAAAAAACAGAGTCCCAGTTTACTCTTGGTTGCCCGGGCTCCCACCTGCTTGACTCTGCCCTGAGGATACTGTTCACTGCCGAGTTCCCCTCGTAGCCCCTAGGGGAGATTCCGGTCTGTAGCCAAACTTCTCTTCATTCCCAGTGACCAATCTTACCACCCATCCTGGTCTCTGTGTATCCGGCTTCCTTACCTCTTCTTGAGGCTCAGGCGCTGTGACGTTGCTGTCTTCTGGGACTGCAGAGACATGAAGCTGGAGACCTGGGCTCTACAAAAAGAAGATTTCTCCCAGTGAGAGGTGGCTCAGGCTCCCCAGCCTCTCCACTTAAAAGGGTCTTTGGTGCCTTACACGACAGGGCCACAGACAACACTGTCATTTCATTCCTGTCATCCTCTTTCACAGGCCGAGAAACCAAGACTCAGAGGGTGAAATGACTTGCTGGGACAGGTGGCCAGGTCTCTGGGCTCCAGAGATGCTTCCGTGATCAGACACCACATGATGTGTGACATGCATCTGTGTGTCTGTCTCTGTGGGAGTCTGTGAGGGCGTAACCACCGTCTTAAGAACACCACTTCTAGACTGACCTCCTCAGCAGCACACTGCAGCTCTCACACTTAGAGATGAGCCTAACCTGTGGCGGTTAGGAGGCAAGTGGGATGAATGATGGTTTCTTTGGGAAAAGTTCTAGGTTCTGCGATAGGAACTCAAGTGTGGGAAGCCCTGTCAAGGAGCTGCTAAGCCAGGGGATGCCCTTGGCACTCTACAACTTAGAATGAATTTACTTTTTAATTGAAGTTTAATTCACACACTATAAAATTCACCCCTTTAAAGTAGAACCAAATTCTATCAGTGTGACAGATGCTTGAAATTCTCTGATTTTTCCTTTAAGGAAATTTTCCTTCTTACTATCTCCTCTTATTCCAAGCCATACATTACCTCAAAGGTAATACCATCTCCCAGAAAGTTACCATTCTCTCAGGTAATTCAAATGCTAAGTGAGAACAAATTTTCTCACAGTGATCTTTTTATTGACCCATTTTATATGTGATATGTCCATAATTCTGCTTGAGAAAAAATATGATTTATGATGCATCTACAAGGGAAGTGAATGGATCTTGTAGGACAGGCTTCGGAAGCCTGAGGACCCTGATAGGCTAGGATCTAAGATGCTCTAGTTGCTTAATTCCATGGGAAAAATATGTCTCCTTAGCTGATGACCAAGGCAATCCCACAGGAGAAGCCAGAGGTAAAAATCATGATAAATCTCAAATATAAGGAGGTGGCCTCGGGGGAAAGGAGGGCAGTGTTACTAGCCTGTTCCTCAAAACAGTCAGACAGCATCTTGGCTCTCCATAATCTCCACTTCAGTAAGATTACTCCCAGAATAAAAATGTGTTTTATTATTCACCAGAGCCAAACAGAAGGTGACTTGATTGCTGTCTCCACACTAAAGTCATATGTTCCAAAGTCAAATTTAAACTAACTTTGGATTGTTCATACTGTAGAGTTACCCTTTTCAGTACAGAAAGGTCAGAAGTGGCTACACTTGCCTCAGAATCCCACCTCTACCGTGTGCTTACTCACCAGCCACACGCCCACATCTCTCTCAATGAGCATGGTTACCTCAGACTAGAAACCAGCCAAGGGAAAGTTTTGTATCTTGCTCTGTTAGGACCTCCAGTACTTCCTGTGAGTCAAGTCTTAGGGCATAGTGTCCACTTAGATTTTAGTACCTCGGGGGACTCAGCCGAGATAAGCTTATTGTTCTCATCCTCGTCTTCCATCTTACTTGCCTTGTCAGACTCTGAAAAACCCTGTGGGTAAAAGAGGACAATGTAGAAGGAAGTTCTGCACCTTTACACCCTGGATGCCTTTGTCCGTGTTGACTCCTCTCAGATGGCAGAAGGCACCCAAGGTGGTGGGAGCCATCAGTTAGGCACAGGCAGGAGTAGGGTGCTATGATCTGCAGGTGCCAGACATCTCATGCTCCCAGATACCTGCTTGGCTCGTGCCCCAGCCTCCTTCATTGCTCTAAAGTCACCTTCTCTGCCACTCTGTTTAAAATCACAATTCAGCCCCCACTCCCTGTGTCTTCCCCTACTTAATTTTTCTCCATCTTTTATCACCACTAATTGTAATTTTACTTGTTTATTCTGTTTTGTGTGCTTCTCCCTTTCCCCATTAGGGTGTTAGATGCAGAGAATTTTGGGTTTTGTTCACTCTACTACCCCACCTTCTAGGAAAGTGCCTGGTACGTAGTAAGGGCTCAATAAGTAATTGTGGAATAAATGAATGAATGACTCTTGGTACCATCTAGTCAGATGCCTCAGCAAAACCCTCTCAACAATGCACCTGAAAGATGTTCATATGTCTTAGCTTTTAGAATTAAGGAAGGAGAACTATTTCTCAATGTGGTCCACCCCATTTTGGTTTTTAGAAGCCCGTTGTATCCCCTTTCCCCTATATTTAAAAAATATTATTCCATATCATTTTTAACAGAGCCAGTTACTAAAAGTTCTCCTTGTATTGATAAAAAATGTACTTAAAAAAATCTTTACACATAGGGCCTCCCAGTTCTGCCCCTGGGAATCTCATAGAACAAGTCAAATCTCTCTGATAGCCTTTCCATATAATGTAAATGGAATATGACTTTTCAGATCTTTCACAGAACTGGTTGCTCTCTGAAGGGTCTGTGTTTCCGTTTTAACACAATTCTTGTCTCATCCACATCCTCATCTTTCAAAAGACCATCTCCTTTGCTTTCCTTCCTCTGTGAGTTCCTTCTTTCAGGTCTTTCTTATCAAAGAACTAATACTTTGGAGATCTGCTAATGCCATTTTGGTTGAGGTCTATTTACCGTAGCCACAAGCAGGGCAAACTGAAGTGAGACCCTCTTCCCACCCCCCACCCCCCTTTTTAAAAAGGTAAAGCTCAGGATGCCAGTTGTTGATTCCCTATATTGGAACTCCCAGGACTTGGAGCAAAAAAAGAAAATTAGTAGAAATCTTCTCATAAAAATATTGGAGATGAGCCCCTCACAGAAGTCAATTAATTATCTAAAGAGTCAAGTCACTAAATTAGTTGCTCTGAAGATGTGAAATAATCCCCAGAACCAGAAAATGGTGATCAAGAGTATCTTTGAGACTATAATATAATGACATAAAGTCCACTCGACTGTGGGACAACCTGGCTGTAGTAAAGATGATCTGAATGGAGGCTATATAGGAACAGACTCAATCAGATGCACTCTCACCTGAGGGATCATCGTGGTGGGGGAAGCACAAAGTTCTGGGTTTGGGTGGTTGATGTTTTCCTTTTCTCCATCCTCAGGAGTTCTTGTTGGCTTCTCTGGTGGCTGTGGATCAAGAGAAACCTCCAAAGAGGCCCTAGGACTAGGACTCGGCGTCCCAGACCTCAAGGAGGCCCTGGAGCTGGTGGGTGAACCCTGCTCAGAGGCTGTGGGACTGGAGGGTGTGTTCCCTGTGGAGGTCCTGGGGCTGGGAGCGGCTTTGGGGGGAGGAGGCCTAGTAGGGGGTGCTGAGGTCCTCTGGACAGGGGCTCTCTTCTTCGACTGCTCAGACCCTTCACTCGAGGTTCGGGTTCGGAGGACAACTTCCGGGACAGGTGAAGTCTGCTCTGAAGGGGTTGGGGCCATGCCTGGGGATGGAGCTGGGGACTGAGGGGGAACTTCCTCCTGGGACTCCACACCCTCAGTGGTGGAAGAGGGCTGGGCCTGGGTGGGGCCATTGCAGGCCGGCAGAGGCTCTTCCCCCTCAGAGGAGCTTGTTTCAGCCTCTTTCTCCTCTATTTCCTTGTCTGGTAAGGGCTCTTCTTTAATCTCAATGTTGTCTTCTTCCTGGGCTGTATCGGATGCTAGCTCTTCTTCACTTGCTGAGGTGGAGTCCTTCTCACTCGTCAAGGGAACTGCAGAGGGACTGGTAGGTGAGGTAAGAGGGCTGGAGACGGCGGATGTTCGAACTGGAGAAGAGATGACTAAAGAGCGTCTGCTGCTGCTAAAAAATAAAGGGCATTCACATTCAGAAGAGCTAAAAACTGGAAGTTGTATTGAGTATTTTTAAATACCTCCAAACGATGCATGCCATAGAATAATAGAACAGAATAATAAAAAAATAAAGTACTTTAAAATGATATTAGAAAGTTTATATAATTTGCAACAATGCTTACATTATAAAGTGAAGTGAAAAGTGACTATATCACAACCACGATTATTTAAAAATATATAAGATATTTCCAGTCTCTACTGGAAAGTACTAGCAATATACTAACAAAATATTTTCTCTGGAGAAAATATTCCTGGGTGATATACAACTGATCTTCATGGATTCTGCATCTGCAAACTCATCAACCCCCTAAAATTTACTTGTAACCACAAATCAATACTTGTGATGCTTTCATGGTCATTTGGGGACACGTGCAAGTTGTAAAACATCAGTGCCTGACAGCACTTTCTCAGCTGAGGTCTCACCAGGAAAACTTCCGCCCCCTTGTTACAGCTCTCACACCGTGAATGTGTTTCTTGGCCATGGTGTCTACATTGCTGTGCTTCTCCTTAGTGTTTCTGCTGTTTAAAGTGGCCTCTGAGTGTGGCAATACAGTGCTAAGAGCAACAAGACTGCGATGAGCCTTATAGGGAAAACGTGTATGTTATATGAGTTTTATCCAGGCAGGAGTGATATAGTGCTGGAGGCTGTGAGTTCAGTATTAACGAATCAACAATATATACTAAATAAGAAGTCTCTAAGCAGAAACACTCAGAACACAAGCTTATGTCTGAACAGGTGATGACAATGTTGGGACCAGGGGCTCGCAGGAACCTAACCCTGAGTTTTCCCTGGGAGCAGTGGTTCGGTATTCACCAATGCAGTGCTGGACTTGATTTGATAGAACAAAACTACCATGGATAACAAAAACTGACTGTAACATTATCAAGTATGTTGGATACGGTGCCGAGTGCTTCTATAGCCAGTATCAGCTTAATGCCTCGCCTCTGTAAGTGCCTCCTATGAACTATCCACTAACTTACTCAACCACCCCAAAATATCTGCTTGACAGGTACCAACTATATGTTGTGTCCTGGGCACTAGAATGGGAGATATGGATAGGAAGGGAAAGATGTAGAAAAAAGTTCCTTCTAAGGGAGTTTCTGACATGACATTAAGCTGAGTGATATAAGGTTCTTTCCAGCACTAGAATTCTAGAGTTCAATAGGTTTAGAAGGCCAGGGACACAGCAAGTACACACCAGATTTCCCTACATGGTTCTGAGACACCTTGGTGTAAGTAATGGTAGGTTTCAGATGAACGGACAATTAGAGAGAACTACGGTGTTCAATACTGAGAAGAGGGGAGAGTTTTTGGAGCGAAGTAGGAAGTCTATTTTGGCTATTTAGTGGTTGTTTTTAATAGTCTGTAACTAATTGCTAAATGAATAGTATGAGCAACAGATGTGAGCCCTATTCTTCCTTCAAGTCCCAAGCTCAGTCTTACCACTGCCTTGAAGCCTCCCCAGACCATCTGCACACTGGCAATTACCTACCTCCCTGGGATGCCTACCAGGCTCATTAGGCTCTGCAGTCTCAGGCACTATGTATGTGCAAGTTCATATTGTTCCTTGTCTCCTTATGCACATTTTCTGTCCTTTCAAGTATTTGTAAATCACTTCAGGGAAAGGACAAATCTCCTATCTTTGGTGTCCTAATGTTTGGCATAAAATCTTGCACATAGAAGGAACTTAATAAAACTTCCTGAATAAAGGCTTCAGAATAAGAAAGGAATCACATTCTGAGGGGCCGGTGAATTACTTACACTTACCAGCATAAAGAATGCATGAGGGCAATAGATACCACAAAAAAAAAAAAAGTGGAAAATCAATGCATAACAGATTGAAAAAGGATTTTGCAACGAATATCATTAGATAATTAATACCCAGAATATACAAAACCCCCAAAACTTCATATAAATAATTTTTTTAAAAGGATAAAAAATCCAAATGAAAAATGTGAAAAAAGGATAAACAAAAGAGTTACAAAATAGGAATCTTAACTCACTACTAACAAGAAAAGATGTTAAAGCTCACTAGCAATTGTGGAGATGTGAATTAAAATTGCAAAAAATTCTATTTCATACCCATTAGCTTGAAAATTAAGAAATCTGACAACGTTACATGTAGCAAGAATATGGAGCAAGGGGGACTTTCATTCACTGTCGACGGGCTGTAAACTGAAACAGTCACTCTGAAGAACACTTTGGTAATGGCAACATCTTGTAAGGCCGAAGGAGCCCAGATGCACAGATCTGTGACTCAGCAGTGCCACTCCCTGCACACACCCTACGGAAACTCTTGATAATATTCACAAGGAGAAAGGTAAAATGTGTTCAATGTAATATTATTTGTAATAGCAAAAACTGGAAAACAACCAAAATGTCCATTAGCAGGAGAGGAGATGAATAAATTGTGAACTAGCCATACATAACAGTATGGAAAGAAAAGGTCAGAGCTAGCAACACAAAGCCACAAGAAAGAATAAACCTCATAAACAATACTAAGAGAACAAAAGAAGTTGCAAAAGAATACATACAGTATAATTGTACTTATATACAGTTTAAAAACCCGTGAAACAATGTTTTCCATGTGTATAGTAACAGTACAGAGACATGCACGTGCATGGGGATACTAAATACTGAATTTCAGGTAGTGACTGACTGTCTGTAGTGGAAAGTGAGTGGGGAAGGAATTAGGAGCTTCAGTCATATATATATAATAGTCATGTTCTTAAATTTGGTGGTAGGTGTATGGCTACTTGTATGATTCTTTATACCTTTGGTGATAGCTGAAATGTTTCATAAAGGGTAAGGTTTATACAGAGGCGCAACAACAAATGACATCATGCACGTAAGCAGGAAGGAAAGGCCAGGATCTGGGCCCGGGGATCAGAGTGTAGAACACGCCTGCCCACAGGGCGAGGGAACCAGGGAAGAGTCTCCGGAGTTGCTCACCTTGACAGTCCCTTCACCACAAAGACTTTGTTGGAATGTTGCTTCTCCAGTTTGCTCATCACCTCATAGAGATTGTGGTTCAGCTAGAGCCAGCAAGAGAAGGGGATGCTTACTCAGACGGAGCTTGAGGCTGACATATTCCTTCCCTACGCTCAGACAGTGAGCCAATCGAAAACCTCCCCACCCTTAACTATAAAGTCATCCCCATCTCTTTTGCACTAAGCGTCCAGGGTCCTGTCCCACCATCCCTTCTTTCTTGACTTCCTTCTTAAGTTCTGCCTCTTCCATCAGACTGGCAGTGTTCTGAAGGTGGGGTCCTTGATGTTTGATTTGAGGTTCTAGCTTCTCTCAGGTGATCCCAGGAATGAAAACTCATTGTATTATAACTAGGCAAATCATAATTTAGCCAAAGTAACTGTGGAGAGGAACATGTGGGGGTGTGAATTATATATGTGAATATATAATAATGGCCGAGAGTCTTGGAATCTCAGGACTAGAAAAGACCCCATGAGGTCATGTTTTGTTGGCTGCCTGTCACTGAACAGGAGTGGCCCTATTCAAAACCAACTAACTACCAGAGAAACTGACTTGTGTTTAATAATTTAAACATTGCCCTCTCTGCTCCATAGCAACCAAAGACAGAGGTCTCACAACTTGGTTCCCCACTTCAGCTATTTCTTCCATAGGCCTAACCCCCTTTATTCATCTGAAGTTCAAGTTTGGATGCTATTATTCAGTTGTTAATGGTGATGGAAAGGGTCCTCTGATATATACATTTATGCTTTAATATGGTCAACACAGTAAATCAGGCGCTATTATTTTATCATGAGAAAAAGGTAAAAATCTGTGGTGCTGACTTGGATACTTAATGAGATTATGTAAATGAGGACTACTTCCATATTGACCATAAAAACCCACTGAGGGGTCTAAAATTGACCAGCTGTGCCTTACCTTGCTCATTTCCCTGTAGAAGACATCCTTCAAGTTGGAAATGTTTTGAAAGATGGTCACATAACAGCCAATACGACTATCAGAAGGCAAAACAACAAACATATGGGTAAGGGGAGGTAAAGGAAGTCTTTGTTTGAAAACATAAGGTAGGAGCTTTAGTCAAAGCCAGCCACCACAGGGATCCTTGGAGAAAGGCACCCCATACTCTAAGACTCAGGATGTTCTGGGACCTGTACTTATCAGGGCCAGCCCAGGAGCACACTTGACTCTCAGGAGGGAGAAGGTCAGAGGAGGCACGCAGCCCGGGCTGACACCAAAATACAGTATCACAGACCTCTAGCTGCACAAAGTTATCTGATTCAGGCTCTTTAGATACTGAAGCAGACATAAAAGTGCTCTGAAGAATTTTTAAAGTGCTAACTAAATATAAGGCCATAAAAAAAAGAAAATGTGTTTTTTTGCAAATTAAAAAAATAAATATAAAGCTATGCAATTATAATTATTGCAATAATTAATTATTCTTTCTCATTATGCAATATTGGACTTCTGTGAAGCTGTATGTACACTAATGGGATTCTACTAGAAATGAATTGGGAAAATTTACATTTTGAGAAACTATTAAATTTCAATTGTATTTAAATTGAGTCATATAATGTTTTAGAATATATGTAGTTACTAAAAAGGCTCCATAATATGTGGACTAATATTAAGTGACAATATGAAATACACTGGCCACAACTGCATTAAAGCATATCTTATGCCGTGAAAAAAAAAACCCCATAGGATTTGTATAGAATTTCCGCGCAGATTCCTTTTCCAATGTAAAAAAGTTATACCTAAAACACTTTTACTGCTGTGAAGCAGACATCTTCATTAATGGAAATAATCATCCCACAATTTAATCTATGTAAATCTGGATGGTCACAAACCAAGGTTGTTTTAAACAATACGCCCTTGTGGCGTGAACCAGATACTCGTGGTAAGCCTGATGACAGCAATTTACTCGCCAAGATCTCTCCTATCCAAGGAGCACCTTGTTTTTAAACCCAGAAAAGCTGGCAGGGCAAGGATGGTTATCTCTGTACTGCAGATGAAGAAACCAGGGTCCAGAGAGATACTGAGGCTTGCCTAACATTACACAGCAGGTTAGCAGCTGGGCTGAGGCTACATCACTCTTAGACCGGGATGGTTTTTTTCATGAGATGACATGTTTGGGCTGCCGGCTGCCTGGGCCTCTGGTGGCCTAGGAGCCCAGCACTTTCCTGGACTCAATCATTACCTATTATAAAGAACGGGTAGCTCCTCTAGTAGTTCCTGGTTCAGATCCTCGAACACGAGCTGGGCTTTGTTGAACTCTTCCTCTGCCTACGTGGTAAAAGAGACAACTATTCCTCTCAATCCTCAACCCCAGGATAGAACCTACTTCTTTCATCCTCTGCATTTTTTTTCAGGGACTAGGCTTACTCAGAACCAGGGCTCTCCTCCCTCAGACCCATGCCCTCCCCAGCCTTGAGTTTCTGGCTCTCTGTGAAGCACTGGTGTCAGAGGAAACAGGATTTCCTTCAGGACTTTGGATGTTAAATTCATCACTTCCTAAACCAAGTGTGGTCCAGCCACCTGCCACCATTGTGGGGAGAGAGAGGGCAGGAAGATTTTATCAGGATTTTTTTTTTTTTTTACCTTGGCAATCTTGGCCTCATCCTTCTTCTTGGCATTCTGCACTGCCTCCAGGTGGTGTCTGGCACTGTCGTAGTCCACGAGTTTCCGACCCCGCTTGGCGATTCTTTCCTAACCCAGAGTCATGAGAAAGGGCCCTGATACTCTTCAGTGGCCAGGCGGTCAGCAACAGAGTATCAAACAGAGAGGCAAGATTCCTGTGTCCTACCGTCAAATTTCATGTTCTACTGGGGTTTTGTGCCCAAGGGATCTCTCTCACTATCCGGAAAGAATGGGGATTCTCAGGGAGAGAGAGAATAAAGGGCAATTCGACAAAGCACTTGTAAGCTTGCCATTAACTATTAATATTTGCTATGAACTCACTAAAACTATTTTAGCCTCCAGGATAAACAGTCTTGAGAATCCTATGAAACTGAAAGGTAGAGGAGTTTTGGGTCTTACTCCTAACACTGCCACTTACTAGCCTTGTGACCTAGGGCAAGGTCCATCTCTTCTGAAGCCTCAGTAGCCTCACCTGTCTTTTGGTATTATTTTACAGATCCAATGCTGAATATACAGTGCTTTGAAAATCCTAAAGCACCACAAAAACATTACAAGCACTGAGAGAAAGTCTACTCAATCTCATCCAAACTACAAATTATACCAGGGAGAAGTAAACTATGTTATTGACCCCCATCTCATTTTTTCAATCACTGAATTTGAAAGGATCTTAGCAATTATCTGGTCCAATGTCCTATGCAATACATGAACCTTCTGTACAACAGCCAAAATAAGAAGTAGTTTGAGTGTGGCTCAGGTGGTTGGAGCGTAGTCCTGTAGACCAAAAGGTTGTGGGTTCGATCCCCAGTCAAGGCACATACCAGAAGGCAACCAACCAATCAATGTTTCTCTCTCTCCCACTTCCTCTCCCTCTAAAATCAATAAGCATCTTTTAAAAAAGTAGTATGACTTCTGTTTGAACACAGAATAGAGAACCCACTATCTTATGAAATAAATGAATTCTAATTCCGCTTTCTGGAACTGTTTAGAACAGGTTCAGTTCCTCTTTAGCCTACCAGACTTTCAAGTATTTGAAGATAACTATTTCAACTCCTTCCGCTTCTCTACAATAAACCTCTTCTGGTCCCATCAGCTGTTTCAAACAACTAAAAGGGATGCTCTGGCCTCGATCTAATTCAAAACCAGCCCAAATCTAGTTCACTGAAATCTTAAGTCTAAACATAACCTTCATACTACCTCTAATCCTTCACCCTAACCTCCTGTCTAACTAACCCTCAACGTTAACCCTTCTAACCTACTCAACTTCATTCTTAACTGGGGGTCCTAACCCTACTTACAAGTTTAACCCAGTATGGTCTCTAACTTTATGGGCCACTCATAATCCATCCTTGATTCTGTAAATCGGGTGAGTACCTTTATTTCTCCAAACTGGGCGACATAGTTTTCCATGGTCCTCAAAGCCTGGTCAGCTAGTTTCTCTTCATAGTCTTCCCAGAGGAGGTCGTTATTCTGTGGGGCAGAGGTGAAGGGGAGTGGTGAGGGCCCCACTGCTCAACAACTGCATACCAGGGAAACACCCAAAGTCTTCCTGCAATAGCTTCCTTTTTTGAGCACCGGGAAGAATCAGATGAAGAAACAGCCCTTCCCCAAGGAATTGCCCTACAAGTGATTGGACATACATTTAGGGATTAAGAACAGGAACAGATGGTCAGAGTCTTGGACTCTAGTGCGTGAAAGATAGGGAAGTTTGGAAGTAAATAACAGCATGAGTTAGTTTTCAAAACCAACCAGTCAGGTTTTATACACGCAAAACATCCGTAAGGTTTTAAAAAGGGGAAGAAGGTCAAAAACAGAGTAGTCCACAGATTAGGGAAAACCTGTTTTTACCTTAGAGTTGCAGCATTTTCCTGTCACCTGTGACTGGGATACACAAATGAGCAATGTGAACTGGCTGCTTTGCTGTCCTGTCCGCTTGGATGGAGAAGCTAAGGTGAAACTGAAATGAGGGCAGGGGGGAGTTGTGAAGAGTTCTAAGGCCCAGAACACTCTTACCCCTACGATGGTCTTCAGCTCCTCATGACCGTCCCACTCGCTGCTGTAGATCTCCTGCAGCGTTTGTGACACTCTCTTTGAACTTTCATGTATCACTGGAAGGAGAGAACTCCATAAAGTTTCCCGAAAGAATAGTCTCATATAATCATATGGGCGACAGGCAAATAAGTAGGTTCAATTCAGAAGGACAAACTCAGAAGGTCTGGGTTATTGGTGAGGGAAGCTGGATGGGGCTGGGATGGGACTCTTCCTTGGCCCACAAAACTCCAGGAGTCAGGGGCAGGCACGTGATAAAAACCCTGAGTATGGCTGATTTTTATTTCCATCCCCAGAGCTCCTACAAGCTGCACAAACACCCTCTGGGTTTTCTCCTGTGTTGCAATACCCACCTTTGACTGCACTAAGGAAGTTCTTCAGGTCCTTGTATAGTTTGAGGCCCTCTGCCTGAAAGGGAGAAATGCCTTTGGTGACTAAAGAGATATAATTGGAAAGATGCTCCGGAGGTCAAAGTATGAAAGTAGCTTAAAAGCAGAAGTCAGTCTTGGATTTTCTCCAAACATTTGCAAATGTTGCAAATTAGCCTTTACTGTTTTACCAAGAAGTTGTAGGTTGTCTCCTTAGGGCAATTTGTAAGTTGGGAGATTGCTCCCACTACATCGGCATGTCTTCCTTCCTGTTCCTCCTTCCGGAGAACCAGAGCCTATACCAAAGTTTCTCTGCTGAAATGTAATGATCCTCTGGCTTCTGCCTTCCTCTCTGGGGAAACTGCTCCTGTCTTCTGTAGACACTGGGCATTCCTCCTTCCCTGCTCCCTCACACAGGCCATTCTTCTCCCCTAATGTCCTCTCTGCTTTGCCCCGCGCTACCCTTCCCTTCCATCAGCCACTGCTTTACACTTCTCTTCTCACCACTGACTCTCCTGCTGTTCCACTCCAGTGTCCTCACCTACAGTTCTCTCTATCTTCCTGATTCTAGCTTCGCTCCTGGACCTGAATTCTCATTTTTAATGCTAGGACTCCCAAGCACAGATTACGTCTCCTCCCTCTGAAACAGAAAAAGGGAGGAAGGAGAGGAAGGTCTCATTTATATTCTGCAGCTTACACCTCAACCCAATAAATGAGCCACTTTTGTTATAACTCTGACAAAGGTTCATTTAGCCTCTGCTTCTTGAAGACCTCCAACCACCAGAAACTCATGACCTCTTATTGAGGCTGCACTTCATTTTCTAATAGTTCTATCAGAACTTTTACCCACTGGCCTTGGATTGGCCTCCTGGACTCAGAGTAGATCTCATTTCCCTTCACACGTTTGAAGACATCTTTCATGTGCCCTATACCAAGTCTTTTTCCCAGGCTTCCTCAGTTGTTCTGCAGGCTATTGTTTAAAGCCCCTTTCCCTTCTAGTCTCTTTCCTCTGTGTGAACCCCCACTTCTAGGAGTTGGATGAGAGGGAAGTTTGAGGCCTGGCCAGTGACATTTTAGAGCCTGACTTCAGGAGTGTGGGACTGGACTGAAAGGGAGGCCAACTTCAAGGGCCAGGTTGTGGGTCTGCACAGTGATCCTCCTCCCAGTTCAGATGATGAAGTACCTGAACTAAGATATACTATGTTCATTTGTTTTATTTGCTTGTGTTCATTACCAGATAGACTATTGAGCATATTGAAAGTATAAAAAATTATAGGAGAAAAGCTGAAAATTTAGTAAATTCTACCCAGCAACTTAAAATTTTTATTTGTGGAAATCTTTGAGAAAATGATCATTACTATTTAATTTTAGCAGCAGAAAATCCAGGTCTGCTCAATCAAATAAAGAAAACTGGACTAAATATTTCATCTATCTTCTTGCCTCCAGAGCTCTCCTCTGAGCCGGTCCAAACTTTTGGCCATACTTCAGGTTAAAAGTCCTTTTCTAGGGGCTGAATTCCAGGGCTCAAGGGACATTAAAACAGAAATAATCTCAAATTAATCTAAGGCACTGTCAGAGAGGGGGAGGAGCTGGGATTGCGTAGTGTGTCATGGCAAATGAGAATCAAGACAGTATCAGAGAAGCGACCAGGGACAAGTCAGATGCCACAGAGAGGGTAGAAGGCAGGAAGAATTGGTAAAAGTCACAGGACTTGGTAACTGGAGGTCACTGTTGACCGTGAGAAAGTGTTTTCGGTAGCATGACAGAAAAATCCAGCCAGTTAAAAAAAACTCAGAACCACTCAGCACTCACCAGAACGGGTATCTCACTTCCTCCTTGCTTCTTCACTAACAGAAAAAAAGTTTAAATAGTCTAAGATGTTAAATGTACATTAATATCTTTTAAATATGACTATGGTATGTAGCTATAAGCGTGAGGGTTTTCAAAATGTGATAACCAAAGTTTTAAAGAGTTTTGAAAGAGGTTTAGGGATTATAGAAATTAACAAAGATCTCAATTTCTTTTTTGAAGGAAAACAACTCAGACACAACTTTTTACTCCACCATGAAGATTTAGTATCAAAAATACATATCTGAGGAACAAAAACTGTGAAACTATCTTATATAAGTTCTACAAATACAATTCTCAAATTAAAAAAAAATTTAAACATGTATTTCATTTATTGATTGATTTATTTTTAGAGAGAGGGGAAGGGAGGGAGAAAGAGAGGGTGAGAAACACCAATGAGTGATTGCCTCTTGAGCACCCTCTTCTGGGGACCTGGCCTGCAACCCAGGCATGTGTCCTGACTGGGAACTGAACTGGCGGCCCTTTGGTTCAGAAGCCGGCACTCAATCAACTGAGCCACACCAGCCAGGGCAAAATTCTCAATTTTTATTCCATTAGATATTACATGGCCTGAAAAAAACAGACTAATAATCAAGGCTACCATGTATGATTGTGCAGGTCGTATGTATACTGTTCAAAACTAGGGGCTACTCTTTATACGATAGTCCACAACATGTGAACACCTTCCACCCTCCACTACATCTCACAGAAGTCCAAATCCATTTCTGTGTTTTAGAATCAAGCCCCCTGGTCAAACTTCTTCCTTTATGCTTTCGTTCTTCCCTCTGAGGAGTTGAAGTGGTACTAGTGGGACATGGGTTGGCAGATCAGCCCTGGGTATCATTTTATTTCTCCGACCTGTCTATCTTCCCTGAAATGTCTCCAGGATGAATCACCCCAGAACATTTCTTCTTTCCTGACAGAGACAACTCTCAGTGTTCAGTTTCCACTTGTCTGGGAGTCAAACACTTGTCTCTGCCACCAACTAGCAAGTTGATCCTCTCCTTTGGCTGCAGTTTCCTCATCTATAAATGCTGCGTAAGGCAATTTTGAGCTCTAAATCTGTGTATCACTTCTGCTTTCTGAAGCCTTGTCAAATTCTTGGCAGCACTATTAAGAGTCTGAGTCTGTCTCTCCCATCATCCCTTATACAAAGAGTCTCAACCCTCAGTTAATGAACCACTCGCTCTGGAAGCTTCTCCTAAGCTCTCAGGCAGATAGATAGAGCTAGCTGTCCGAACAGACTCAGGTAATGAGGATGAAGAAGGTCCTCGCCCTGGGTTTCCCTACTTGCTGGAGAAAAACGGACTCAGAGAAACCCAAACCTTCAGCAGAACAAGTAAAGGGCATGACTGACTGGCTTGAGCAAGGGCTGGAAGAGTTTGATATGAGGGAGGCCCAGAAGGGAGAGATGAAGCTGGGCAGTTAGATGTGATTTTAAAGGCAATGATCTGGAACCAGCTGTCACTACCAGAAAGAGTAAAATGCTGCTTGAGAAAAAGAATTCTTCCTACATAATATGTTTTGGAGAGAGGGGAAGAGGGAAGCAAGCAGTGCTCTCAAAGATAAATTATCTATGGAAATTTGATTAGGAACCTAGGCAGCTACAAGACCTTGAAATCAGGCTGGGACATTTGGGAGTGATATTTATTTATTAACTAACAAAAACTTTACCTACAAGTTGATTGTGGGTAAGGAATAGGGCACATGACCAAGCGGTCCAGCCTCTGGAATACTTAACTTTCCATCTCTGGCCCTCTCCTTTTTCCTCCTGTTTGTCTGAGCCACCCCAGCTCCAGCCTCAGACCTGACTGTATCATCTATGGCTGTCTTTCTTCTTAAACTGTGGGAGCCTTGAGGGCAAGTATGTTGTCTTATTTACACTGAAGTCCCAGCATCTAGCACAGTGTCTGCAAGCTAGGCACCTATAAAATGTCTGTTGCATGAACTTTCCAAGCATGTCCAAATACAAGTTGCTAGAGATGTAGCATTCTCTCAGGAGAAAAGATTTTCCTCGTTCCTAATCTAACTCCATTTCATTTCTCAAATATATATATATATTTCCCCCCATGGAGTGACACTTAGTGGGGGCTCGCACAGGGAATTCTGAGGGAATTGTCCATCTGATCCTCGTTTTCTTCCTGACGACCCAGTCTCTTGCCCTTCCTGCCCACACCCCTGCTATTGGAGGGTGATCCCATGAGGCATACGGGGAAAGAAAAGACTGAGGGACAGAATGGGCCACGAGTGGGAAACCTTTCCAAGTGGGTGTCAGCTTACTGATTCCTGCTCTTTTCATGCTGGAGTTGAAAGTAGAACAGTAACTAGTGGAGAAGAGGCCCAGGGAGGCTTCTCTTGAGGTACAGGGAAGAAAGCACAGGGTTCAAGTCTGAACCCTAGCTCGGCAACTCTTCTGCTGTGTTACCTTGACGAAATCATTCCCTCTCAATCAGATCCTATTTCCCCTCAAAGAAGTTAGACTAGATCGGTTGCCAAATGCTGTCCTCAGACTAGCTGCTACATCATAATTACCTACAAAGCTTAATGTAAAACACAGATTCCCTAGTTAATGATCACCTATGATTGTTAACATCACACAAAAAAGGAGACAACCAGGCATTATGTGCCTCCAATGAAAGAATAGAACACCTATAAAAATAAGTACTCTTTTTAAAAAATATTTTATTTATTTATTTTTAGAGAGAGGAGAAGGGAAGGAGAAAGAGAGGGAGAGAGAAACATCCATGTATGGTTGTCTCTTGCATGCCTGACTGGGAATTGAACCGGCAACCCTTTGGTTTGCAGGCTGACACTCAATCCACTGAGCCATACCAGCTAGGGCAATAATAAGTATTCTTGCCATCAAAAGAAACAAAAACAAAAATCTGAATCTCATCAAGGCCCTAAATCTAACTACGAATTTTCAGAGAATTTAAGAGACAGGGAACATGTTAAATTATACCACAGAGATTCAATCACCAAAATTTAGACTGCATGAAACTGCAGGTAAATAACCTAGTATCAACGAATAAACTACAAAAAAAGGATTAGAAACCTGTAGATTAAGAGATTCAACCTTAACTTTAAGAGATTTAAACATGTCAACTAGTTATTGATATAAATAAACTATAGAAAAGACACAAGGGAATGTGAACATTGACTGGATATTTTATGATATTAAGAAATTATTGCTGCCCCGCCTGGTGGCTCAGTGTATTGAGCATGGGCCTGTGACCCAAAAGGTTGCTGGTTTGATTCCCTGTCAGGGCACATGCTTGGGCTGTGGCCCAGATCCCCAGTTCGGGGGTGCACAAGAGGCAAACGCACATTGATGTTTCTCTCTCTCTCTTTCTCCCTCCCTCCCCTCCCCTCTCTCTAAAAAATAAATACATAAAATTAAAAAAGAAATTATTGCTAAAGTTTTTAGATATCACTAAAACACATGTTTTAGTGGGAGAGTTATCATGAAATATCTGAAAAGATATTTGTATTATTCTGTTTAGTGAAAAAGGCAAGTTATAAAACCATATGAATGGGATAATTTCACTTTTGTAAACCTTGTTTATTCATAGTGAATATATTTAGAGATCATATACATACATAGCAAAGTTATTGTAAGGATATAAAACAGTGGTTGTAGCATGGAAGGGTATAAAATCATTATTTTTAAATTAATTTTTTTCTTGATGTACTTTCTGATTTGTTATGAGAAGTGTTTTATAGAAAAATATTTTTAGGTGCAATAATGGTTTTATGATTATATTTTAAAAGTCTTTATCTTTAGAGATTGATAATGAAAATTTATAGATAAAATAATATGATACCTTGAATCTGCTTCATAATAATCCAGGATGAGGGAAGTGGGTAGAGACAAAGGCAGAACAAGATTCCCAGGACTTGATAAATTATTGAAGCAGAGTGATGGGTACATATGGATTTGTTATACACATTCTTCTATCTTTGTGTATATACGAAGCTTTCCATTAAAACGAGTTTAAAAATACAGATTCCAAGGCCCTCTACCAGTGACCTTGCATTTAAAAATATTTCCAAATGATTCTAACACACTCTACTACTGAGTTAAAGAATAACTAATATCATTTTAATATAATTCTAAAGAATTACTTTGTATATAATCCAACTAACTGCTGTATGATAAAGATTTTGGCTATTCTTCATCTCTGGTTCCTGGGAGGTAAGCCCCAAATATCTGTGACTGCCCAGGTGACAGGAGTATCCTTGTTGCTCATGGATGGTGGGCCCCTCGGACTGCACCTCAGGAGGGCGGCAGGTCAGGCTGGAAAATGCGCAGTGGAGTTAGAGGTCTAGGGCTCTGAGGCAGGTGCTATCAGCCCAGACTCCAGGGGACGGGAGGGGAGCTGGAGATTGAGTTCAATCCCTTGACCAATGATTCCCTTTGCAGTGAAGTCACAATAAAAACTCTAGACACCTGAAGCCAGGGTGAGCTTTCTTGGTTGGTTACCTAGATCAGTGTGCTGGGAGGGTGACATGTCCTGTGATGTGTCCTGTGGACACATGTCTTTGGGACCTGCACAGACCTTACCGTGTAGGTCTTCATTTGTCTGGTTTTGACTTGTATCCTTTATAATAAAACTGCAGTGGTAACTAGGGCCCTTTCCTGAGTTCTGGGAGTCATTTTAGCAAACTGTGGAAGCTGAGCAGCTAGTAGCTACCCCCAAATTTATAGCCAGTTGGTTGGAAATGCTGGGGGCCAGGGAACTCTGGAGTCTGTGCCGGTGTCTGAAGTATGGCAGTGCAGTGGGGGACTGCACCCTTAACCCATGAAATTCGACCTAACTGTGAGCAGTCAGTGTCCGAATTGCAATGTAACTAGATATTCATTTAAGTTAACAACTCCCTTCTTCCATCAAGCGGGATCACAATCTCTGAGGCTGTTGTAGGAATTGAATGAGATGGGTGTAAAGCACTGAGCACGATGCCTGGCACATGGAGGTGGAAATTCAAATACCCCATGAAAGTTAAACCTCTGTTACCCACTTCTTAATGTAGGTTTTCTACATAAGATTACCCATAGTACCCAGTAAAGACAGAAGGCACAGTGAGAGTAGGAGGTGGTGGTGAGAATGACCAGTGAAAAGATGGAGATATTACTTTAGAATAAAAGGCTTAGGTGGGATATGTAGATGTAGTGGACAAAGAGGCCACATGGAAAACATGGGGCTACTGAGACAAAAGCCCTAGGGTGGGAGAGGGGCACCCTGGGAAGTAAATAAGATGGCAGGGGCTCATTTTGTCTAAGGACCTGATGATGCCATTGTACCCTGAGGGAACCACTAAGAGAAAAGAACCCTTGTCTGCACCCCCCTAGGACCCAGCGCCAGCAGGAACAGGAAAGGTAAGTTTCTCTGGTACCAGAGGAAGGACAAGCAGCAGGGCACGCAGTGGCCCTTACCCCAGGGGGAAGAGGGGTCAGTAGGGATGCTTGCTCATTTGAAGAACGTGCTGTTCCTCTGCCCCTCAGCACTCACGTCTTCCTTCTTCCTCCAAGCTTCCCTTCCCCACCCTCCAGATTACCTGCTGATAGTAAAAGTTGTTGGCACTTTGTTCAAACCGTTCATCTTTGGTTTCCACAGTTTTCCCCAACTTCTGCAGTACCTGGGGATATAAGTCAGAAAGGTCCATAAGGTTATACATGGTCAAATCTCTCTTATTTGTTGGCTTCATATGACCCTGGCTTCTCTCTCTGAGTTTCAGATGCAGCTAAAGGGCCACTGTACTGACATCAGCCCAACAGAATTACATATATAGTACAAGGCTGAATAAACAATCATATTTTGTGGCTCTTTTCAAATTGCATACCCATGGGGATATGCAGCAGTATGCTAGAAGCCATATATAAAGCCTAGAGTAAATAAGGTATATGTTCCTAGAATGACAGTGTTATTTACATTGTTTTTTGGGGGGAGGAATGGGGAGTATTATATTAAAATAAGGATTAATAGGAAGAATGTAAAATGTTCATGGCTTTTAAAGATATCACATGAGCCTTAAAGAATTTTTCACATAGCTATAGGTTCCTCTAGATAGACGAGATTAGAGAGGTGGGTGGTTGACTCTTCTCTTATGAGGGCACTTGTGGAAAACTTTAAGAAGCCCTGATAAAATGCATTTAAAATTCAGCTAAAAATTAATGCTATCCATGTCTGTCTCCTCTCCACTGGGAACCCAAGAGCTAACCATTATACTGGTCTCAGTGCCAACGTGAAGGACGTGGAAATGAAAAAGACACAGTCCTTGTTCTCATAGGGGACACTCACTCACAAACAAATACGAAAGTCCTGCCTCTTCTGTCTGCAACCCATTTTGGGAGGAGGCACCACCATCTCCCGTGTTCACGTTGGTGAGTTCACGTTAAGGTGAGTTCACGTTGGAATCTCGGGAGTTTCCTGCCCTCAACTCTGTCTGGCCCACCTCCTTCATTAAATCCCCGACCATGAACACCTCTGAAAACCACCTCATGCTTTCTAGTTTCACTGCCATGGCTTCAGCCCAGGCCCTGACCATTTCTCACCTGGTCTCTATAAATAGGCCTGCCATGCTTCTGCTTAAGAGCTTCTTATGAGACTCCATTTACCTTCTCGACAAATTTTCACTAAAAACCTGTTACGTATCTGTAAGTTATAGTTGCAGCTTTAGCATGTACACCAGTCTCAACGATTTGCTACTCATTTGGCCTCTGTTCTCACAGCTCCTCCTTCTCGCAGGTCCTTCCCGCCCCAACACTTCATTTGTTTCCTGAGTAACCACAGTTCTTGCTTGTTGTAGATGTTGTTCCCTCTTTCTGGGATGCCCTTCCCCACCTTGGCTGTCAGGCTACTATCTAGAAAAACCCAATTCAAACTTATATCCTTTGTGACACTTAATCACATCTGCTTCACCTTATTCATCAAGTTTAATCACTTCCTCCTAAGCACTTACAACTTCTGTACCTCACATGCATTTCTGATACTGTTTTATATTTGTATTTGTCTATCTATGTCTCCTTCTAAATTGTAAGCTCCTTACGGATTGAGTACTTGCCTTCTTCATCTAAATTTCTCAGTATCCAGCAAATGGATACTTAATACTTATAATAGGAAGGAGAGTAAAACTGATACAGGAGAGGAACAATGAGCTGGGTCTGGAATTAAGATTATGCTAGATTAGAACAGAGTATAAAGGGTGAGGGTGGAAAGAAGCTTCTAGGAAAAGACATCAGCAAAGTCACAGGAGTATGCAAACTTTTAAAAAATTATTTATTTTTAGAGAGAGGAGAAGGGAAGGAGAAAGAGAGGGAGAGAAAAATCAATGTGTGATTGCCTCTCACATGCCTCTATTGGGTTCTGGCCCATAACCCAGGCATGTGCCCTGACTGGGAATCAAAACGGCGACCCTTTGGTTTGCAGGCTGGTGCTCAATCCACTGAGCCACACCAGCCAAGACAGGAGTATGCAAAATTTTAGCAACTTCATGAGATAGTTCAGCATGGCTGGTTTAGGGTGTGTTACGGGGAATGTGTGTACAGAAGCTAGAGAGGGCAGCTGGGCTCTGAATCACATGAAAGACTGCCCGAGTCCTGGGAGTGAGAAAGACTCCATCCTTAGGCCTGGGGCTAGTATCTCTCACTTCTGGAGCTCTCTCCATAATGGTTAATATAAAGGACCCTGGAGTCAGACAGATACAAGCATGCCCCCACCTTGGCCTTTCCACTTACTGGCTATAATAAGCCTTTGGGCACATCACTTAAACTCTTGAACCCCTGTTTATTGAACTCCCTTTCCTCCATTAAGATAATAGTATCTCCTGGGGTTGTTGGTAAAATTAAATGATATTATACATTTAAATTGCTTTAAAAGTGCTGCCCTAAGGTGAGTACTCAATACAAATTCACTGTTACTCCATCTAGTTCCACTCCTTCCCCCATGTATACTTGTCTTTGTTTCCTTTTCAGTTTAAGCATATGTGTTCGTCTATGTCTAACTTCACTTTACTTACAACCCAGCCCTGGCTGTGCAAAGTCCACCAGCTTCCTTGGCTCCACCTTCTCACCCCAACAAAGCACTATTTTCTACCAAGAAAGTTGCAAAACCACCTTGTTTAGTGGTTAACTCAGCTCTTCCTTCCTGCCAACCCTCCCTTCCTTTGCGTGGGGCGTGGTTCTTCTTAGGTGCAGGGGCTGGAAGAATAAGGAGTCAAGTGAGGCGAGAGTCTGTGTGGCATACCCCAGAGTGGACCTGTACTCCCAATGCCCACAAGGCTCCAGGCAAAAAAGGGCTGGAAGGCGTGGGAGTGTGTGTGCTGAGGAAACACAACCACCTTCAATTCTGAAACTGAAAAGATGGGTATTATCACCCTGAAAACATAACCCAGTGCCCTGGGCCCAAAGTTTTTTGTTGCCATAAGCAACAGGGCCAGGTGTCCCAGCACATACACTAGGCTGTAAATGTTCTTTCTTAACTAGGGTTCCCAGAGGGGAGAGGAGGTATAGGTGCTCCACAGATGTTTGTTGAAAAAATGAATAAATTCTACCTTTGGATCACTTCCCATCAAAGGCCCACCTAGTGCCAATCCCCGAAGTCCTGCACTGAGAATTCTGCCCAAATTTGCTTAGCTTAGTGGCTTGGAAATTAGAATATAGATATTTAGGAAGAAAGAGCAGGGATAAGAGACAAAGTAAATGTAGCAAAGTGTTAACACTCAGTGAAATGGGTAAAGAATATTCCAATGTTCACTGATTTATTTTAACTTCTGTGTAGGTTGAGGTGGGAGGGTAGAACTTGAAAAAAAAAAACCTCACTACAGACATGTTTGGTGGATATAGTTCATCACCATGACCCTTCCCCATAATCATTTATTATATCTTAGTTAATTCTCTCAATTGGGGTAATTTGAATGGCGCCTGTACATTAGATATTATGAGATTTTGTTAAAACTTTTTTCTTAGGTGCGATAATGATCCTTACTTTCAGGATATATGCTAAAGTAAGCTCTCCTTAATAAGGCCCTAATATACTTTCCAGCCTTTTCTCCCACCACTCCTTGCCTGAAAGGATTTCCAGATGCCTTGCCTTGCTCATGCTGGCTGGAATGCTCCCTCACACCTTGCCCGAGGAACCACCACGACCTCCACTACAAAACCTCCCTCAGTTCTCAACTTTTCTGTCCTCTGCGTTCCCACAGTGGCACAACTCTCTTAGGTCACTTATTTCATCTTTTTGTTTTGTTTTGTTTTTTAAAGACTTTATTTATTCATTTTTAGAGATGGGGAGGAGAGGGAGAGAGAGAGGGAGAAGAGCATCTGTGTGAGATGTGAGACAGAAACAGATGGGTTGCCTCTCACCTCTCATATGCACCCTGACAGGGGATGACCGGGACCATACCCACCCGGGGCCACATGTGCCTGGACGGGGGATCAAACCCACGACTCAGGCATGTGTCCCAACCAGGAAATGAACTTTTGCTTGGCGGGACAACACCCACCCAACTGAATCATTCAGGGTCAGGGTGCTTTTCTTTTGTTTTAAACTAGACTGGAAGCTTCTGGCAGGCAAGAATGCCTCTAACTCCTCTCTAAATTCCCTCCTGAGTCCAGCTGGGTATCCAGAATAGAAGTTTTTCTCTAAATATTATTGACTGAATCGTCTGGGACACAAGTTGAGTAAAAATCAACAGAGGAAAAGACCAACAAAGGAGTGGTAAAAAAAAAAAAAAAAGCCCTTTCTTGGGGAATCAGAAATCTGAAAGGCCTGCCCCAGACCTGTCACAAACAGTTGGTGAAGACATGAAGATGTATCAAATTGTAAAAACACTGTAAAGCCAGTCTGCTTTGTCTCATGTTGAGTCTGGGTGGGAACTGGGAAATAAAACAAGAACGCTTCATTTCCACTGTGTTCAATAGTCACCAGACCTTCACTCCTAACTTTTCAGACTCGGCAGCCTGAGCAAAAGGTGTTTCCATGCCCGGCTTTGCTCCTGAGAAGAGATCAGCAGGAAGCAGGCAGGCACAGATATCAGACTGGTGTGCGGGGACCCTTTAAACAGAGCAGCCTAAGTCTGGCATCCAAAGGCAAGACACCTGGGCTCCAGTGATAATTCTGTCACATGCCAATCTCTTTTGAGCCTTATTTCCTTGTTTCTAAAATTGGGATGCTAATAACATGCTTGAGGGTTGAAAAGATGAAGTGAGATCATATCATGAGTATGTTGGCTCCATAAAGGGAAAGATCATGCCTTTCTTAGTGGGTGCTTGATATGTGACACATTTGACTATTTGACATGTTGGTTATTACATACTGCTCAGAATATTACAGCCAACTGCTTACAGAAAAAGTGCAAAGTTTGCCAGGGAGTCCTTTCTTTTGACTGTAACTTTTGCCATCTTTCTCTTGCCTTCAATAACTTCTCATTCAACAATTAAAAAAAAATAAAAATAACTTCCCAAGACTCAAAGACTCTGGAAGGCTGAACTGAGCTCCTCCCCATATTCCAGGCCATTCCCACTCCACCCATGCAGCATCTGCGATCTTAGGGTGCTAGCTCAACTTCTGCCTGCCACTGTGCCTAAGTCTGGGTTCAGAGTATCTTCTTCTGCAGCAATCTGGGGATCCCCAGGGCAGACTCGAGTTTGTTCTTCACTCCGCCGTTTCAAGGTTCAGACCTGGAAAAACAGGGTGTACCTGGGCAGCTGGTTCTCCCTTTGGAAAGTATTTGACTCTGGTTTAGTGAGTCTTCTCCCCTTCTCACTTGGGTGTCTTTATCATTTTGAGTTTCCAAATTGCTGAACACTAACTCTCTCGTTTTACAAATGCAGATTCTGAAGCCCAGAGTAGGGTCATTATTTACCTAAGGCTTAGGAATCCATGCTTAAAAAAGGAGAGAAATCACAGAGCAAGAGCATAGCATTGATGATAGGCTGGATGAGGACAGAAGGTGAAAGAGTGAGGTAAAATCAATTTCTGTGTCTTTTAAAAATAATTATTCTCCATAAGTTTTTGTCTTTTGGGTTTTCTTTTTGTTTTCCCAAACCATAGTGTAGCTAGCCTTCCCCTATTCTCCAGTGCCTCTGGTTTCTCCACACTGCTTCTAACTGGACCTTCACAGAGACTCTGATCTCTGTGCACCAGATCTGGAACAAGACAGCCTTTTGAGAGGCTGAAACCATGATCAAGTTAAAGTTAGGGTAAGGTGAAGTAACAAAGGCTAGCCACACAAAATATTTCCCTTTTCCTCTGCTCTTTCATATGACTCGGCTTCCATTCCCCGCCCCCCCACCCCTTCCATTGTGAGCTTCTTAAAGATAAGGACTGTATCTACATTCCATCAATTCTCTGCTGATAATCCCACTTGGGAGAGCTGGTGGCCTTTAAACCTCCCAGGACCCAAGCCAGTGCTCTGCTTTTTAGAAGATGACACAAATATTTCAATTCTTAAGCATGTGGTATTCATCCAAATGCTTCTAAGACCATGAATCCTTAGAAAACCACAGTTCTATGTCAGATTCTTCTTATCTTTCCCTCTCCTTTTTCTACTGGCTTATTCATCTTCCCATACCATCTCATCTACCAGAGTGTTGACAGGGGCAGGGCAGAAGCTGACGTTAGAAGCAAAGAAAATACTGTGGGTAGGTAGAAACAAGAATGCCATGAACTGTGTAGAGCAGTGTTCACATAATTTACATAGGGAGGCAAGTTACAGAAGGACAGCCTACCTAAGTGCTAGTGCTACAACAGGAATGCCATTAGCTAATCAAGGGCACAATTTAAACTGAGATGCACCTTCATCACCTTGGGACAGTCCTCTCCAATGCCAGAGGGACAGTACAGGAAGCAGATAAGGGCTTCTCTTACATCAGCTTAACCAACACCCCGAGGCCAGGCAGGCTCGGGATCAGAGAGTCGTGCAGATGACTCCAGCCCTTGGACTCCCAGTCCACATCACCCGGTAACACGGGAAGCACAGCTGGTCATCTTTGTCTCATGCCTTTGGGGGAATTACCTCCTTTGAACCCTCAATGTCATCATCTGCAAAATACCACCCTTGCTAGGTTGCTAGGACAAAAACTGCTACATAGCAATCGCCAACGTTAGTTCCTTCCCTTCATCTTTTTCTGGGCCAGGCGGAGCGTTAAGGCTCCTGAGAGAGACTGATGTCTCCGCAGCTTCCTTCATACTCGCCCAAGATTGGGTGATGTTCTCCCTCTCTCTCAAGTCGGCTTGTTTTCATGGACCACTCCTCACTCCCGTTTCCCGGGGGAAGCCGGACACCCTTCTCTTCAGCCCAGACCTCTGGGGCCCCTTGGCACCCTGTACACCCCTCTCGCCACATCCAGCCTCCGCTGGAATGGAGGCCCCCACTGACCTTCTCCTGGGCCCTGCTGAACTTCTTCTGCATCTGCTTGGCAAAGACGCCGGCAGCACCTCCAGCCTTGCCCTCTGCCATCCTGTCGGTTCCCTGGGGGAGCCGGCCCTGGCGGCCCAGGCAGGAGCCCTGTGGTTTTCTGGAGGCTGCTGAGGAGGAAGTGCAGTTCCCAGCATGCTTTGCATCCGGCCCTGGTGGGCGGGGCCGCGACTTCCCCACGGCAGCTGCCCCTGCGAGACTGGGCACGTAGCCCTGTGGCTGCCTCAGGACCGGCCCCGGGCCGCCCGGAAACCCAGTGCGGCGAGCCTAGGCCGCTACAGCGGCCACCCTGAGGCCCACCGCGAGGCCCACGCGAGCCCAGCCAGCACTGACCCCTGAAGCACTCCCCGAGGCCCACCACAGTCCAGCGCTGGGTGTGGCCCTCGGGCGCAGAGGCTGGGGCTGTTCAGCGGAGGCTGGAAATTTGGTCCCGCCCGAAGGTGGCCCGCACTCAACACCAACTTTAAAGTTGTTCAGCCCTGAGGTGTAGGAACAGCAGCCCCGTGAACAGAGTTTTCAGACGTGGGCCAGTACTCAATTCATTCCCGAAAGGTAATTACCTAGAACAATCCGCGCTCGAAAATAAGTGAACCCGTGGGGTAGAAAATACTGTGATTTTCACTCAGCAAGAGTACTTAGTGTATGGGAAAACACGTGTCACTTATATGGGTATGAATACTGGGTTGCCAAGTAAAATATACTTCTTTAGGTTACAGTTTTTAAAGACGGAAAGCCCCTATCAGAGAGGTTGGCTCTAAGCCTAGAACTGGTAGGGCTAGAGTCCACACTTGAATTTGAAAGGCAAGGACAACTGAGGTGGAGATACAAATGGGGGTCCTTGGGAAAGGAAAGGGTCTTATTGAAAAAAGACTGAGGAGGAGGGTAGGGGAGCTGGGGACGGGGAGCAAATCATTCCGGCCTGATAAACTAGCACCAGGTACTAGAAAGAGGCAGAGCATGAAGACAGACACAGATTGTGCAAGTTGGGGCGGGACTGCTGCTGTCACAACTGTTGCTTCTCTAGGTAGAAGGTCTCTAACAGGAAGTTACTCTTTGACCCGTTTAAGCAAATAGCTGGAAATTAGGACAGTTGGTTTGGAGGAACTATTTACTCAAGGATTTTCTCAGTGAAGATGAAATTCCCTGAAGGAAGGGAAGAGAGTCAAAATGTACTTCCTAAGCAGTGGAGAAGGAAGCCGGACGCCTGGGACAAAATTAGAGGCTGTTGTCTACTATTGTTTTCCACACCATTCCCCCAAATGGATGTGCTACACTCAGGATCAATTGTGTCACAGGCACTGGAGAGTGCTGGGAAGCCAAAGATGAATTAAAAATATGTGACCTCTGCCCTGGCCAGGTGGCTCAGTAGGTTGGAGCATCGTCTCGTGCACCAAAGGGTTGCAGTTTCTGGTCAGGGCACATGCCCGGCTTTCTGGTTCCATCCCTGGTCGGGGCGCATGTGTAGAAAAGCAGCTGAATCGATGTTTCTCTCCCACACTGGTGTGTCTGTCTGTCTGTCTGTCTGTCTGTCTGTCTGTCTCCTTTCTCTCCCTCTCTGCCCCTTCCTCTCACTTTAAAATCAATCAACGTATCCTTGGGTGAGGATTAAAATAAATAAATAAATAAATCATTTCTAACCTCAGAGAGGTGGAGAAAGGTTGGTAATCCGATTATTATAATGTTAATGTTATATATGTTACTCATTTATACAGATAGGTACAATTTTTTTCATGTAATAGATCAATAGATTTATTCTGAATGTTAGTTGTGAGATGGTCTAGAAGGGGCAGAATGAAGAAAATGGAAGGACTCCATGTTGGATAAAGAGAAGTGGGGAGAAGCCCAGAGAATGGTGGTACTGTGGGGGCAACTGAAAAAAGATGGTGGTGTTCACAGGTGTGTCACTAACAGGAGGCCAATACCTGTGTCACTCTCAGGAATCCACAGCATCTTCAGCAATGCAGTCCAGCCACTGCCTCCAAAGAAACTCTCTGCAGTGCTACTCTCTTGGGAACTGAAATTGATGGTCACCAAATCAAATACTACTAGAGCACAAATAATCTAGAAGTTAACTAGATAGGGAAATTGAGTCACAGAACTGGCTGGTGGCTTGCCCAAGGTTTCCCATTCCTCATTTGTGAAACTGAGATTGGGAATACAGGCATCCTGATTCCAGCCCACCTTCTGATAAGTGGAACAGTATACACTGTTCCAGAGGCCTCTGCTGACACAGCAGCCTACGGACTCCAGGACCTGTCTTAGCCGGTTTCCCCTGCTATAGTGTTAACTACCCTGGTTCCTCTCATCTGGTCTTCAGTGACCACTGGGGAAAGTTGCTTCTCAAGACAGCTGTCCCAAGGAAGTCCATACCATGCAGCTAGTGGGGTTTGGGGAGCAAGCTTCTGTGGGAAAGCGGTAGAAAGATTTTAGGAAGAACCGTGGCCAGGACCAATGCCACCCTGAACCACAGAGTGCTCTTTCACTGAATACAAGGATTTTAAGCTGATATACCAGCAGTATGCAGTTTTCTTCATTGTGGTTGAAGTTAATGACACCAAGAATGAGATGGCATTTTATGAATTTATCCATAAATTTGTGGAAGTTTTAGTCCAGTACTTCAGCTGTGTGAGTGAATTAGATATGATGTTTAATTTGGATAGAATATACATCATTTTGGATGAGATGGTGTTAAACAGCTGCATTGTAGAAGTGAGTTGGGCAAGAATTCTTGCCCCTTTACTGATTCTTGACAAGATGTCAGAAGGCTGCATAATGAAAGGCTCTGCCAGGCATCATCGACACAGGAAATGAGAACATGGGACACCTCTCAACATCTGTAGCCCAGAAGAGCATACATTGCAAAATGGAGCATCCTTCCAAAGGCATTTTGAATAGGTGCTTTTCACAGTTCCTAAACAGAAAACAAACCTATATTTTAATACATGATGTACAAAGAAAAACAATCCCTGGGAGATGTTTTATTTTCTAACCATAAGCATCTCCCTCTACTTGTTTAAATTTTGTTAAATAAAATTGTTGCTCTCTGCTTCCCTTTGCAAATTAAATTCAAGAATAGCAGCATGAGGTGGGAAGAAAGTGTGGTAGCCTTTATCAACCAATAAAAATTTAAAACTGACTAAAAAAAAAAAGAAAGTTGCTTCTCATCCTCTTAGGCTTCTCTTCTCAATTTCCTCTTCACTCTATCGTAGAACACACTAACAGACTGAGCCCTGGCCAGGATGAGGCAAATTATCAGCTTCCCAGTTCTCTGTGGTTTATAGAACCCTGAATTAGGTTGCCTATTTTAGTCCCAGCCTTGAAGTGCTGACTCATACTTATCTGAGGATATACTAGGTCTGTCCAGAAGGTATTTATTGAAGAAGACACATAAGACATTGTACACAGGACAATGACACTTCAGTCCTCTTCAAAGTAGGCACCTTGGGACCTCACACAGTTCTCCCAGTTGTCATCTGCTGCCTCATCATCTTTTCTTGAATCTCATCAAAGATCTGAGATCTCTTCCCTTTCAAAGGTGATTTAGTTTTGGGAAAAGCCAGAAATCGCAGAGTATCAGATCAAATCTAGGCTGTAGTGGGGTCTGAGTCACCTGAGTACTTGATATTTTGCTAAAAAACTCTACATGGGACATGCGGCATGAATGAGTGCATTGTTGTAATGAACTGCCAATCACCAGTTGCCAATAGCTGTGGCCTTCTGAACCATTTGAATAGTTTCCACAGAGGAATGTTCGAGCTTAATGCAAATTTGCAAAAAAATTTGATACAGATTTGTTGCTCTTATTGCTCAGTCATTTTGAATGTGATGGCCACACAGTACACATGCTCACTCACCAGCGTCTACCGCCCCCACTGACTAGTACAGTGAAGGTGAAGTCGTCATTGTTCATGCACGTGCATTCTAGTCCATTCTCCTTGGCTGCCAGCTTACATTGATGTTGCACAAACTGTTGCTGTTATATTAACAATGGCTGAACTTTTTTTTGGACAGACTATGTATATGTGTGTGTATATATACATATATATTTTTTTTCCAAAACACTTGTGAGCATTTCACGAACTTTCCTCTGTGTGGCTTTGAGCTACCAGGACATAGGACCACCAATACCCTTGATCTTCTCCTCAGCCTTTGTGCTGAAGAATTTGGCCATTGTGATGACAGGCTACTTTGGGAGCTATCCCTTCCCCAGAAATTTGGAGTGGCACAATTGTACCACATCAACGACGGGAGCAGCTCCACTCTTGTTTTTGGCAGCATTTACCTGTGTCTGCTCACTGACCAATGCCCACAGTTTATCAAGGTTGACAGGTGGGCAGAAGCTCTGATTCCTCTTTAAGTGGTCATGCCTCACACCAACTTTCCCAAAGTAGCCTGGGTGATAGTTATCAAAGTTGATCCTGTGGTGATGCAAGCCACCAGCATTACCTTGACCTCCCAAATGCTTCTGGTGCTTGCAGATGCAACTATGGCTGTGGCTCACGTGAGGTCCCATATTATTGTCTCCTCTCTCTTTTTGTTCTGCCTCTTCCCCTTAATCTTTCTTTTCTTTGTTCAGGATCTTCATTTATCCTTTTTTAATCTTTCCTTCCTAGTCTCCTTTACTAATTTGCCACTCTCTTTGCTGGCATCTGACTTACCACCTAACCCTGTATTCCTCTCTCTAGTGTATCCTACCAGGAAGTTGCCCTTATCCAGAACCTTGAACTGAGCACTGGTTCTAGGCACTGAGGGGGGAACAAAAGGAGGAGCCACATAGTGTGGTTGGGAGATCAGAGCACATTTTGTAACTCAGGAGCATTTAAAAGTACTCTGCGCCTTTAAATATAGCAAATATGCATAGGAGGAGGGCAGATGGGCAGATTAATGGATAGGTAGATCCTAAAATACAAGGTTATCCAAAAAAATATCATATAAAACCATCCCTACTTGGTTTAGTTTGTGAACTGGTAGAGGTGGCAGCAAATGAAAGAATCAGCCCAGAAATGTGCAATCCAACTTGGGTCCTCTAACTGCATTTCTTCTAAAGAGCTTAATCACAAATAAAAAGACACAAGTTGATAATGTATATGCAGTTTTATTTGCTT